AGGTATTTATTTTTTTTTCTAGTAGAGGATAGTCTACTTTACTCGTCTGTCAATTAATACTAATAATATATTGGATTTCTTGTTAACTAAAAATAGTTAAGTAAAAAATTTTACGATTGACCCCACTCTCACCTACTGTTAAAATTTAAAAAAAAATATTCAAAAGTCGTTAAATTACTTTTCTTGTAAGTTTTGGATAAACCAATTTTATATTTTTGTGCAATTTTGTAAAATTTGTTTTAAAAAAATGGTCAATAAAATTTGTGTTGGGTTGAATATTTTAAAAGTGAAATTAGCTCAGCGTTCAAAACGCTTCTGCCAAATTTATTGGTAATATCTTTTTCAGATTTTGGCAATTCTCCAATTTCTTATCGTCGGACGCTCAGTGGATATAGTGTTCGCCTCTCAAAAAAAGGTGTTACAAATTAAAAAAAATAATAATTGATGGTGTCAATGCAAATTAAAAATATTATTCACAAATAATATAATAATGGGTGGCAGGTGGATGATGATAGATTGATGGGGTTATCTGAATTGTATTGGATGATGACGCACCACGAGAATAATAACAGTGATATATAAAATAGGAGGACATTGCATTTGGATATTATCATTGAATAGAAAACAGACATTTATTTGATATCAAATAAAAAACAAACAAAATTAAGGCCGGAAATAAGATCAAAAGTAATTAAAATAACGTATTCGTTTACGAAAAGTAGTAGTACAAAAGGTGTGTTGTTGTTGTTGCACGCCCCCATTGGCCAGCAGTGCTAGACCAGGTCCATGACGTTATACACCCTCAAAAAATCCAACACCGTCAATGGAACATCTGCTAAGTCCTGTTTGGTGAGCCCCAGGCACGCGAGGATGTGGTGTGAAGAACAGTTGGTACACATTTTAAACTTCTGGATCCTTCTGAAAATTTCATTGATTTAAGGTGACCACTTCGAAAGCTGGCAAGAATAGTTTGTTCCTGTCTATTAAAACCTTGGGCCAGGAAGCCACCAGGTCGAGAGAACTGATACCATGGGTGCTTTGGGGGGACACTTCAAGTGATCTTGTTTTTGTGTTTTATTTTTGAGAAGATTTCCAAAAGGGTGACAAAAGGTGTTGTATAAGGGTGTTACAAATTATAAAAATGAATAATTGATGGTGTTACTGCAAATTCAAAATATTATTCACAAATAATATAATAATGGATTGGATGTAAACGATGATAGATTGAGGGGATCATGGAATACCATCATGGAATAGTAATTATCCAATAGATTCAATGGTTACTAAATGTGAGGTGAACATTGAACAGGTTGGTCCCCCAAATTTGGAATAAGGTGAACACTATAAATAATCAAAACTATAGATTTATGAAAATAATAAAAATGACTTACTATATCCAAATGCATGGCATTTAAGATAGTGACGGGATGTTTCCAATTAAAACAACAGGTTATCGAATATGAACTTTAGGAAGAATTTGAACAAATGCTAAGGTCTGAAGATAAATGCTTGACACGTTTGAAAATTTGATAAAGGTTTTGCATCAAACGTAATACGTTATAAAGGATACAAGAGGAAGATAAATTTAATCTTAATAACATGCAATTGATATTTAATATTAATGATAAGAAGATAAATACGAAGGAAATGCTTAAATTGAAAGGATCGTTAATTTTTGAAGAAAAGAAATTTAAAGGTATAAAGAGATAGATATAATGGATATTACTGAATTTCTAGCGATTTGAATATTTTGTATAATTATAAGAGCCAAAGAAAAAATATGTAGAAAAAGGAATTAATTCTCCCGATACTGGCCAAAAACCTCGTCTTGAAGAGATAAGAGCAGAAGGCTCATTCCTAGGAGTCATGTTAGTCAAGGAGTGAATATCCCACCATATTCAGAAAATTGACTGATTGAGAAAGACCCAGACAAGCGATAACCAATTAAAATTCAAGAAGCAAAGATGTTGAAAAGCGGACGGTTAAGATTGGCTAAGTAAACCCACATCCAAATAAATTAAATGAAGAAAAAAAAATTAACGCCAACAGTTGGCGATTTTGTGAAAAACTAAGTCAAAACTACTTCTAAAAGAAGACAAAAGGAAGGAAGGAGAGTATTTCTCCCCCGAAGGAAATTTAATATCAAACTGTAGATGCTATGACCATTGACCAGTCAAAAAAAGAGTGAATAGAATCAAGATTCTTGTCGAAAAGAAAAGTGAAACTTTGCCAGACAAAATACATTCAAAATAGTTACGTTTAAATAGAGAAACAAATCCCATAATTTAAGAAAAATCACTTGAAGATTTCACATAGCATAAACTCAAACTATTAAAAAAATTAGAAGTTAATAAAGGTTTAAAAAATTAAAAGAAAAAATGTAAATAATGGATCAATTTTGTTATTTTATTTATTTATTTATTTTTTAAATGGCGGGCACTTGGAACTACTCTCTTTTCGTTACCCAGTGGTCAGGTGTGGCGAAGCCACGGCGTTGGAGCAGCGCCGCCCACGTCACACTACCACAACCCGTTTATAGGGCGGGTCACATTCAAACACACAAGAGAGAAAGGACATAGAACACAGATAGAGGAAAAGAAACATCCATGCCTTGCCCGGAATTCGAACCCAGAACTTTTCTGATGCAAGGACAGTTCCCTGCCCCCTACATAGGCCAATCAGGATCAATTGTAGCATTACACAAAGTGTAACGACTGTGACAAAAGGGACCCAGGTTTGAATCCTTGCGGTGGCTGATTGATACAAATTTCTCCATATACTCGCACCAACTTCAGTACTGATGTGTAATTAAATTTATCATCAATCAAAATTTCGGAAAGTGCTGACATAAAATATCCTTAGTGGTAGATAGAACAGGGGTTAGAATCCCCTTTCTGCCGAGCTAACCATGGGAGGTTTTCCTCTCCGTATAGCGGAAATTCGAGTTAGTTCTATCAAAAAGCCATCTACAAAGGCAACTTTGTCTCAACGCCTGATCCAGGAGTTGCCTTGTCTTTTGAGTTGGGTTCAAAATTATAAGGCTACGGAGTGATAGTCGTAAACTAGATTTGGGTTAGATCTTCAAAGCCTGTTATAAAAATTATCAAAAAACCATTTTTCGATGATTAGAAATTTGAATTCGTTGAAGAAAAGAACGTTCATTCACAGAAAATACATTTGTTAATCTGTTTCGTTAAATTTATTAACAATCTGAACTAATTAATAAATCTAACATTTGAACCATTAAAATCGGGGTTTAATTGGTGAAAGTCCGATCATTGGAACTAAAAGGTGATAACTTAATGTCTCTAAATTTGCGCTTTGTACTACATTTTCGACGCGTATGGATTGAGGATTTATACAAGAATCAGTGATTCGAAACTAAAGGAATAAACTTCTGGAGACACGGGAATTCCAGCAGATTCAAAACAATTTTCCAGTAGTTTTGAATCACTCTTTTTTACTTCTAAGCAATATGGATACATAGGTTTAGTATACTTACCATGGACACATGTATTTTATAATCGAATCCACCTTTTAAATGAATTCCTGTCTTGTGTGGATTTTGTAAATGCCTCCGATTGTGAACAATAGCATAGATTAAAATATCTTCCCCATTTACAATGTATTCTGCTGGAAATGTATTGAGTTTTACTTTGAAATCTGCAATAATATTAAAGCAATATTGAAATTCTACAGGGAAAAAGTCAGTATTATTCGTAATACTTAAGATGAAACAAATACTAAATTAATAGAGTAACTTACAAAATTTAAATACGGGTGTTCTATAATGACCACCTTTCAGTATTTAAAAGCAATGATATTTTATTTAAAATAGCTTTTTTTTTTTTACAAATGATTAAATTTGTGTCCTCTTTTAAATAGCCAAATTCTAGATACATTCAGTATTAAACAATGAGAATTACATCCAGCATTATTTTTAACAATTCAGATGATTAAATATATTTATAACAATGTGATTAAATATATATAATATTGTGAGAACTATTAAAGCATCACGCATTAGGTGGCTGGGCCACCTCTTCAGAAATTCTGATGCCGTCCCTGCCAAAAAAGGGACTTTTTCCACAATTGAAGGGACGAGACGTAGGGGACGACCACCTACAAGATGGATAGACGACGCTGAAAAGGACCTCAAGCTATTGGGAGTCAACGATGGCGGGCCGTCGCACCGGACAGGGCCAGATGGAGGAAAATCTGCGAGTCAGCCTTGGCCTGTGAAAGGCTGTTGCGCTTATGAAGAAGAAGAAGAAGTTTATCATTACTATTTCATTTTAAAGAATATATTAAACTCTAATTTTATAATTAAAGAACTATCAAAATAAAATAACTGAATTTTATAATTACTACTAAATCAATAAATCACATACTGAACATAGATACAATTAAAAACCCATATTGAATTCTCAATTGCAAATAGTTTATTTTTATGATTAAATAATGTTAATTATGAATACTCAAACCTAATGATAAACTTCCCGTTACTATAAATTTAATTTGTTTCAGTTATAATATCTATTCTTGAGCAATTGTATTAGTCGTTTTTATTTTATTCCGTTTTGTCCAGTTTCTTCCTGTCCTGTAAGAAATAAGTTTCTTCTGAAAAAAAGGCCACCATTTAACATAGATGATTTTGTGGCAAATCATTTCTATGTAAACATTTAAAAATTGTTGATTAATGTTTATTTGAAACTGTACAAATTCCCATAAGCAATAAATCTCACAATTATAAAGTACGTAAGAAGAAATTTTTTTTATTTATTATGTTACAATCAAACTGGAAGTATTTATACGAACAATAGAAAATTTTATTATATAACTTTCTTTAAAATTTTTATTTTCAAGAGAACAATTTTAGTTTGAAAGAATACGTTTTTTGAAAAATTATAATTCAATAATTAATTGAAATTTTAAAAAAATTAACTTTATAATTTTGTTTTATCCCAATGGTATTAATGAAACATTTTTAATACATTCTCTTCTAGGAGCAGGGATAAAATATTATGTTAGCTTTGTTTTTTTACATTAATATTTGTTAGCTTTGTTCTTATTGTTCATGACATTTTTTTTTTAAGATTTAGATTTATTTTTTTGTGAATATAAAGCTATTACCAGTTAATGAAATTTGCCGGACAGCTTAATACTGCTGAAGTATTTAATGATTTTTATATTAATTGATTCACACTAATAGCATTCCCTTCATCCTATAAGAACTACATATATATAATTTTACTTAAAATACCACAATCAACAGACCTGAGATTAACATTAAATTCAACTTCAACAATCTATATTCAGTTTGTTTTCACTATTAATCAGTATTACTGCTATATACATACACTAAGATTATGTAAAAAAGGTCATATAATTAAAATTAAATAAGTAAATAATTGATTTAAAGAAAGGAAAGACTTTAGTCAATACCCCCCCCCCTAAAAAGTTTTAT